CCTTTGAGTCTGTCCCATAATTTATTACTCCTGACAATGATTACCCTCGAAAAAAAATTGTTTACAAACTGCGGTTTCACTTCTTTGTTCTCATGGGGGATTTCCTCACCTGCATGCACCTACTGCCCTGTACTCTGGTCCCTGTTTGGGGGCCACCTACCAAGCGCCTGCGAGGAGAAGGGGGAATGAACCAGTGTGGAAGCAGTGGGGATTGAGGTAATAAAACAGAAGAGAAGACACAAAAGACAAAAGATGGCGTCAGGAGGTCTGATGCAGCTGATGACTGCAAGCAGCACCAAAACACAAAATCATCTTTATTTTATAGTTTCTTAACAGAGTTGTTTATGGGGACGTAGCATAGACAAAATATATTTTTGATCTTACAATATGATTGGAAAACATAAATAACTTTACCAAAAGCAAATCATCCTGTTAATGTTTTCTACTTAATTTTGTCAACGTATGTTAAAATGTAAAAAGGAAAGATCACAAGGATTTCTGCATAGTTCCTAAAGACTAACTAGACAAACAAAGAGCTAGGTAACTTTCAGCAGAGGGAGCATGAAGAAAAGAATATTGTTGTTTTGGTAAAGGAGGAGAAGTAGTTAGGGAGTCATTCTCTAAATGCTCCCCAAGCTGTGGGGGCCCTGCCACCTCACAGCCTGCTCTCCACAAAGATTTCTTAAGTATGTATACATTTTTTAACACTTCCAGAATATATGACTTTATCCACAAAAACCCTGTGAAGTAGGTTTTCTTTTTTCTCCAGTTTATGGATGAGTTTAGCTATCTATCAACAGTGAGTAAATTTTGTCAAAGCAACGTGAGTGCAGACAGCTGCTCCAGAATGATGTATTTTTTTGTTCAATGATTAAATTTTTGAGCTTTTCTGTATCCTTCAGGCCCAATCATTCCCTAATGGAATTACCCAAATAGTTGATTGTATGGATTTAGTAGATGAAATTTCTGAGTGGGATTATTATGTTCTCCAAACTAATCTCATTTCCTTAATGCTGCAGAGCACAATTGCTAGACCTGTGGTTCAGGCCTGTAACTGCAGCGATTTAAGAGGCCACAGCAGGAGGATCACTTGAGGCCAAGAGTTCCAGAACAGCTTGGCAACAGAGAAAGACACTGTCTCTCAAAAAAATTAAAACATAGGAGGCCACTGCGGGTGGATTGCTTGAGCTCAGGAGTTCAAGACCAGCCCCAGCAAGAAGGAGCTCCATCTCTACTAAAAATATAAAAACTAGCCATATGTTGTGGTAGGTGCCTGTATTCCCAGCCACTCAGCAGGCTGAAGCAAGAGGATCAACTGAGCCCAGGAGTTTGAGGTTGCTGTGAGTTATGCTGCCATGGCACTCTATCCAGGGTCAACAGAGTGAGACTCTGTCTCAAAAAGAAATTAAAAACAAAATTAATATATATACACAAGTAGGGTCCACATACCTGGACCCCTGGGAAAACTCTATCCAGCAAGACGAGCACAGAAATTGAGATTTGGCCTTTAGAAATCTTTATGTCAATTTTACAGGTAATTTTATGCCTGTTTTGACATTAATGATGAAATGCTTTGACTTGAATTTTGATGTCTTTTTTCATTTCATTTTCTATTTTACCAAAGTATGGTCCACAACTAATTGAAAATAAAAAAATAAATAAATAAACTTACACTCCTCACCGATGTTTTGAGAAGCACTTCTATAGAGTAAAGCTGTTAACATTTGAGGATTTTACCAAACTCTAAGGATTCTTCTGTGGTCTAGTTCCCAATAGCGTTGCCTCGGATATTTTTCCTACCTTTATTTCATCCATTTTATAACACATTATTACTGATATTAATACAATACTATGTATTCATCACTACACCTACTGTAATGATCAATAAAGATAAGCAGACAGAAAATAAAAATGACTCTCTGAGACAACAGAGCCAACTCCCAGGTAACAGGAACCGGCGAAGATGCGTCTCCAGCCTCAAAAAGGCGCCAACAAGGCTTCCACGCTACGGGGACGGCCTGCGTACGCATGCGCAGGCGTTAGCCGAGACAGCAGAGAGGGCGGAGGGCGCTGTGGATTCAAGAAGACGCCCCCGCGCCTGCGCCTGCGCTCCCGCCCCCACCCGCTGCCTGAAGAAGGTCAGGACGTTGTCACTTCCGGCGGACAGCTCACTGCGTCCGGGTTAGCTGCTGCTGCCGCCGCCGAGCTACTGCTGCGGCTGGGGGACCGGGCAGGAGTCTTTACGGCAGACCGAGGGGAGCGGGCTCCACTCGGCGCCGCCTTCTGCGACCTGGCAGTCAGCCCGACGTCGCCGGCCTGGAGGGACACAGAGGACGAGGGGGCCAAGGCTTCCTCCGGGGTGAGTGCTGCGGCCTCAGAGGATCCGGCACGGCGGCTCTGGACTGAGGACCGGCCGGGGGGCGCACGTTTGACCGACACGTGCCCCCGACCGTCCGGGGAGTGGAAGCCGAGAGGGTTTTCCGTTGTAGGGGGAGCCGTAGGATCTGCTGCGGAGGCGCTTCCTGGATCCCGCCCAGCTTCGGTCCCCGCCCTTGGCTTGGCTTCTGTTTGTATCTGCCAGCTTTGCCCCCGACCCCATCCATCCCTTTTCCGTTTGTGCTAATACTTGGGATGGAAGCGCCCCATTTCTCTGTTTCCACCTCTACCCCGGCCTGGGTGTGGTGACTGGGTCTCCATGGTTCATATTTATAACCTGCGTCCGTCCTGGTGCAGAACAAAGAAACTTGGACTTTGGGCGTACCTCCTATCCTGGGACAGTAGACACGAAAGCAGCGTAAATAATCATAGCTTTAGTAGGCCTTACCAAACAAGCTAAACCAAAAACAGAGTGTATATTAAGAGCCGAGTTCCTGTGTGAATTCAGGCACTGTCTTTAATGTTTAATTACCTGGCAAAATGGTTTTGATTTTCTGGGTGCACCTGAGGCCTCCGGAGAGCAACTAAATCAACTAAAGTTAAATTAGGACTTTATGTAGGCCTTTATTACGTTTCTTTGGAATTTATCCTTGTCTGTCCTGGGAGCATTTTGAAGGCACACCTTTTGCCATGTTCATCAAGCTAGCTATAGGGGCTCCCAGTTAGTTGAATGAAGTAGGTGTGATTGCATTTTATTTAGTGTTGCTTTTTTTCATTCTCAACCTTTTTTGATAGAATCCCTATTTCTCTTAATGCTTGATTGCTTATTTTTAATTAAATGTATTGTTTCTAACTTGTTATAGAAATCTCTGCAATTGTAGAAAAAATTCTGTAATTTACAAATGGATAAGTTACCTCAGAATTATAACTGAAGTTACCCTGTAAAAGGTAACCTGCAGACTACTTTTTTGATCATCTGTACATTTTCTTCCCCTTAGTTCTCATTTTACGTTTTTTGTAAGCTCAATTCTTACTCTTCATCGTCTGACATTGTTGGGCATAATAGACAGGAAGTATAACATCCACTTCTGCAAACAGAACTTGTACTGGGTTGTTGTAAGTTGGTGTTGTTATGATCTTTAGACCTTTACAGAACCTTTGAAGCTAAGTGTAACCAAATCTGGCATTACAAACTTAGTCTGTATAAAGTTGCCAGTGAACTGAAGACAGTGTGCTGTATTAGAAACAGTTCTGGATAAGGTCTGAGGACTAGGAGGTGGTGTATTGTGATGTCCTTGACTCATATAGAAGATGGGGATAATGACACAAGTTGGAACATATGAGATGATGGATATAAAGTGATTAGTAAACATGAAAAGCGCTATTTGGGAATGTGGTTCTCTTCATTCTATCTGGAATAATGATGTTATTAATAGAAGGAGTGATAAGGAAAGATGCCGTCTGAGAATAGATCAAAAGGTGCCTTGTTACGCTTATATGCAATAAAGCAAAATTCTATTAATAATAATAAAATAGCATAATATGATGATAGTAATATTCCAAAATTACGTTATATTATAACTAAAATTTATAACTCTGCAACAGTGATAAAGATCAGTTACTAGACTTGAATCTTTTTAAAGGTCTCAGAGTACTTCCAGAGTGTTCTGAATACTGATAATTTAATAAATGTAACTTCTGTAGGTGACATAAATATCTTTGGCTTTATTTTCACAATTTTGAAAGAAGTCAGCATTCTAGCTTTTAATCTAACTTTTGTGTTAACATTTCGGATAGGGCATCTTTCTTTTTTTTTGAGACAGTGTCTCATTATGTTGCCCTCAGTAGAGTGCTGTGGCGTCACAGCTCACAGGAACCTCAAACTCTTGATCTGTAAGCAATTCTCTTGCCTCAGCCTCCCAAGTAGCAGGGACTATAGGCGCCCACCACAACGCCCAGCCATTTTTTGGTTGCAATTATCATTGTTGTTTAGCTGGCCCTGCGGGGCTTGAACCCACCAGCTTCCATGTATGTGGTAGGCACATCTTTCATTCTTAAAAACCTATATGCTGCTTACCTTTAAGGGACCAATGACAAGCAAGCGTATAGGACTTTTCCAGGGATGTTTTGATGATCTTCATAAACCTACATACTATTCATTTAAAAGTGAATATAAATATTTAAATTGAGTTCTTTTGTTTAAGTGGGAAAGTAAAAGGCTTGTTGGGACATTTCCTTTTGCTAACTGTATTTGATTTCAGCCTAAATGGCTATTACTAGCATCTGTTCTAGCAGCGCTGTTTAAATTACATTATAGTAGAATTGCCGTGTAAAATTGTGTTATAGTTGAGACAGTTTTAAATATGATCGTAATACTTAATTTTTGCTCATGTTGCTAAGCTGCAAGAGGAATCCCCCTTTTCATCTTGGATTTACCACCACACCTTTCCTCTGAAGCTATGTCAGGAGGAAGTCCATTACTTCCTTGATTTTTAACCTTACAGAGGCCAAGGACTGTTTTGAATTCATCTTTATTACCTCCTTAGAAAACTGGAATACATAAGGATGTGCCATCACTACTACCAGTCTGTTGAGAAGTCAGGTTATTCTTGTTACAGTAGGTTATTTTAACAAATACCACCTTAAAGTGTTGTTTCCCCATTCTAATTTTTTAAAAAAAAATCTATAGTCAAAAAATGGGAAGCAACCATAGTTAACTTGTGAGTCAGCAATGTTCTGATTGCCTTCAAAGTAGCTGTGCTTATATTAATTCCTTTGTTTTCTGTTCTTACAGCAGCTTGATGAAAAAGTGCTTCAAAGAAAATTATTCTCTCAATTGTTTAAGTTGTCTTTAACTACCCGGTGTATTTTTCCCCTAAAATTTATAAAGAAATGATTATTATTTCTACTATGTTCTTTTAACCAGCTTGATTATCTCCAAATTAAATACCCTGCCCATATGCTAAGGTGTATTAACTCACATAATTCAATATGATATTAAAGTAAAAATGGAGTAAATAGAGTAAGAAAGTTGAAAGATTTATGTAGAGGACCTGTTTTCAAGTGATAACTTATTCAAGTGATTAAGCAACTAAAGTGCATGTTTTATTTTCTAGAATGTCCCAAGATAAATATTTCTTTTCTCTTGCACATAAAGAATAATTTTATCAATAGAAACTTATACTACTTGTATGTAAGATCTCACAGAGTATTTTCATTACATTTTTATGAGGTAAAGCATAATAGAAATCTTATTTAAATAGTTTAATAAAGAAAATAAACCTAAGAAATTGAGCTAAGGCTTGCTATCCAGTGTCGTACTTTATAGTAATTGTATATTTATTCATTTAACTAATTTTCACAGGTCTGTTTGCCATGTACTGTGTTAGGAATGTATTGGTTGCAACTTCCAGTCACTACTTTTATTTTTGAAATAGTAAATATTTGTCTAAGTATTTTTCTGAGATATTTGAAAAAGACACCTAGAGGATATCCTGATGATTTTTCCAACGCCCAGTAAAAAAGTGAATTGAAATAATGAAAAGTTTTTCTGATTATTGATTTTAGGAAAATATATTCAGTTTAAAGTGAATACCAAAGTATTGAGAAAACTTGACATTGAGAAGGATAGTTAATTAAAAATCTGGAAGAGACTGGGTTTCCAGCCTTTAGTGATTAAAAAGTTTTAGTCCTATTTTAGTATGAGTGTTAAGTAGTAAGTATTAACTATTTGGGCTTTTTGGCTAAAATTCTGTTGTTTTGTTTTATTTTGGTTTTTAACTAGTTCCATATTCTAAGCAGAAGTTGTTTGGTAAGGTAGATGTCTCTTTTTTATTTTCTCTATAGAGAGGAAGAGTTGGTATCAGAAAACTATATAGTATTCATTGAAGATGGGTTACTTGCTTCAAAGTATAGGTTACTTTATTTAGAATCAGAAACTATGAAATAAATCAGTTATTGTATTTTCTTCTATTTGTTTTTATTTATTTATTTATTGAGACAGAGTCTCGCTTTGTCGTCCTGGGTAGAGTACCATAGCATCATAGCTCACAGCAACCTCAAACTTTTGGGCTCAAGCGATTCTCTTGCCTTAGCTTCCCAAGTAGCTAGGACTACAGGTATCCGCCACAATGCCTGGCTATTTTGTTATTGTTGTTGTTGTCATTGTTGTTTAGCAGGCCCAGGCCAGGTTTGAACCCACCAGCCCCAGTGTATGTGGCCATCACCCTAACCATTGAGTTACGGGCACCAAGCTAGTTTATTGTAATTTTTTTTTTTTTTTTTTTGAGACAAGCCGTCTCAAACTGTTGTCCTGGATAGAGTACTGTGATATCACAGCTCACAGCAACCTCAAACTCCTGGGCTTAAGTGATTCTTTTGTCTTTGCCTCTCAAGTAACTGGGACTACAGGCACCCACCACAACACCTGGCTATTTTTTGTTGCAGTCGTCATTGTTTTTAGCTGGCCCTGGCTGGATTCAAACCCACCACCCTTAGTATATGTAGCTGGTGCCATAACCACTGTGCTACAGGCGCTGAGCCAGTTTATTGTATTTTTTAAGTGTTTTTAATCTCTCAAAATTAATTGGCTCATTGTTTTCCCAGAGAATTAAAAATGTATTACAGCTATATATAAATTAACATTTCCAATCAAATATGTTAGGAAAAGTCAGCATTTGTCAATTTTTTTCTGTGCTAACAAATAGATCTTTAAAAATTTAAACCTTTTGGGAATGTTTGAAACCTTGTCTTAAGCATAAGTAAAAATTCAAACTGAGAGGAGAACCTTCCAGTCTTGGTGGAGATATGAATTTAGTTTACCAGGTGAAATCTAGCATTTTAGGAAATTTCTATGGTAATATTTTTGTTGTTCTGAAATATAATGCTATTTCTATATAACTTTGTGCATTTTTCCAAAGTTGTGAGACATAGCAATAAGGCACCCATAAAATATGGCCACATTTTTGTTTAAGAAGACTAGTTGATATGAATGTGAATGGCTGGCATGATTTAAATATTTTTTCAAAGTTATACATCGTTTTATAAATCAGCCAGGCAGGGCGGTTGCCTATGGCTCACTGAGTAGGGCGCCGGCCACATACACCAAGGGTGGCAGGTTGGAACCCGACCCCAGCCAAACTGCAACAAAAAAAATAGCTGGGCATTCCTGTGGGCGCCTGTAGTCCCAGCTACTTGGGAGGCTGAGGCAAGAGAATCGCCTAAGCCCAAGAGCTGGAGGTTTCTGTGAGCTGTGATGCCACAGCACTCTCCTGAGGGTGACAAAGTGAGACTCTGTCTCTTGAAAAAAAAAAAAGAAAGAAAGAAAATCAACCAGGCTTAGTGGCTCATGACTATAATCCCAGAACTTTGGGAGGCGAGCCCAGGAGTTTGAGGGTACAGTGAGCTGTGTTCATGCTGCTGTGCTCCAACCTTGATAACAGAGTAAGACCCTATCTCAAAAATAAAATAAAATAGTGTAGAAGGACTTACTGTGAAAAGCATCAATCATTTTTCCCATCTCAACATCTTTCTTCATCTTCTGGTACCAACTACTTTTAACTTACCTCTTAAGAAATAAATGTTAGTATTGTTTTTGAATAACTTTAGACATCCATTGACTTACTCTATAGTTTTCTGTATTTTGTTTTACTGTTAACCAATTGGTCTTCTGACTTCTTAAATACCCTAATAGCTGCATAAACAAAGACATTCAACAAGTTGAATGTCTGAATACATATGCCCAGCTATGAAGGGCAGGCCTGCTGTAGATATGAAACAAAGCAAAAGGTAACATTCACTGGACAAGTTACTGCATCAAAACTGTAGGATAGGAAATACAAATGATAGCAAACCACTTGGTTCTGCTGAGTCATAAGAGTGTAATTGTTGTTTACTAGCGTTCACTTTCTAGAATCAACCTCTATCCAAAGGGTAGAAATTTATTATGAATGTATAGTGGAGAATATGCTTATTTACTTTTATTTCTTACCCCACCACATTTTTAACATAATCCATAGTATGAAATATATTTTAAATCACAACCTAAGACACTGTATATGCAACTGAAAACAAATATTTTCACTGAACTATATTTTTACCACAAACAATACTTACTTTATCAGAATATATGTGTTATAGGTACTAGAATATAAGAATATTTTCTGTTCTAATTCTTTACAAACATTTGTAACCCAATAAGTTGATTTCATAGCTAGACTCCAAACTAAAGCTCTATAGTTTAGATAGAGTGGAGGTGTGAACTAAGGTGTGAGGTTTTTGCACCTTTTCGGTACATTAAAAAGTAAAGTGGAGGGTGGCGCCTGTGGTTCATAGTAGCAGTGCTCTGACCCCATATGCCAGAGGTAGCAGGTTCAAACCCAGCCCTGGCAAAAAAAAAAAAAAAAAGTAAAGTGGAAATTGAAGTTGTTTTAAACGTTTCTGTCTTCTTCACAGGACACTGGCTCTCTGGATTACCAGGAGTTTGTAGTTGACATTGAGTCTAAGCTGAGGATGGAAGGTGTGGAACTTAAAGAAGAATGGCAAGATGAAGACTTTCCAATGTGAGTAATACTTTTTAAAAAAGACTAACTTAGAACAAACCTTTACAATTTCTTAACTGAGATGTCACTTAATCTTATATTTTTGTTTAGATCAGTTAAGTTTCAAAATGTTTGCTTTTATAAACAGTACTTTTAACACAGTATTTTTTAAACTTAGGTCTGAGTTTTCTTAGTGAAGGGAGCCTTTAGTTGTCTGTAAGAATTTTTAGATTTGGTGGGTTTTTTCCTAAGAAAAATCTTATTAAATACATAAACGAGGATTTTCTAGATCTTCTGGCCAACCTCCTTGGCATATTTGCATTTATATTTATAATTGTTTTGACACCAGGTGGTGGGCTGATGAAAAAAGAGAAAGGCAGACCTTATATTTAAATGATGATTCCATGCCATCGTGGTCAGAAGTCATCTTAGTGCACAGCCAGGTGCCTTAGCAGTTGGAAGACGGACAGCTGGTGCTGGTGGGAGAACTGAGTCATAGTAGCCCATGATGATGATAGTAATACAGGAATGCTGAACTCAAAGGAGTTGTAGCCATCATTACCTAATTTTTTTCATTGAGTAAAAATTGAGCTTTAGCATACATTGCATCATACAGCATCATACATCACATTATAGTCATATATTTCAATTATATTTGTTTTGTATTTTACTTAAAATTTTAGAATATGTTTTATAGTTGTGTAAGAACTACTACATAAGGGATTTTTGTCTATTTGGGGGGGTTATTTATATACATATGTAAGTCGCCTCTGACAGTCTGAGATACATGTCTGTGTCTTCTAGACCTTTACCAGAAGATGATAGTATTGAAGCAGATATACTAGCTATAACTGGACCAGACAGCCAGCCTGGTAAGAAGTTGACATTTCACTTTTAATGCAATGATGAGCTTTATGTTACTTTTGAACATATTTCTTTGTACCAAAAAACCCACTGAGCTTTTATCCCATCATAGGGAGGCAAAGAATAAGTTGAACATTGAGAAAACCATCTTTAGAACGCTTGAGAAAATTAACTTTCTAAAAACATATTCTTGGCTTTGGGGGATTTTTACAGTGAATTGGTAGCAGGAAATCATTTTTCACTAGTAAGAAGTAACTATAAGATCTGCCTATATAATTGAAAAGATATTGCTGTCTCATTCATCTCTTGCCAGTGATGTAGAAGCCATGTGATCGGAATCCAAATTTTATAAATTAGTGCTTCAGAATTGTGTTTAATATTATTTTTTCTCAAGGATGAAGTGGCTCGGCACCTGTGGTTCAAGTCGCTAAGGCGCCAGCCACATACACCTAAGGTGGCGGGTTTGAATCCAACCCGGGCCCACTAAAGAATGAAGTGGCTAAAACTTTTTTCTTTTTCTTTGTTCTCCCATTCCAGGTTCACTAGAGATTGATGGAAATAAAGTGAGAAAGAAACTAATGGCTCCAGATATCAGCCTGACACTGGATCCTAGTGATGGCTCTGTTTTGTCAGATGATTTAGATGAAAGTGGGGAGATTGACTTAGACGGCTTAGACACACCCTCAGAGAACAGTAATGAGTTTGAGTGGGAAGGTAAACATTTTACTGTTTATCTGATTGGTATCAATGAATATTTATCTTGATATATATAATATGTTTTTATAATGCCCTTCTCATTAGGAAAGTTAGGATAATTGGAAAACCTTTTTAAAACCTATTCAGAAAGCTGACTAAAATCAATAAACTAAGGGATTTTGTTTGAAACATGTTAATTCTTTCTAAAGTTCATGTATTTGTTTCTATGAGGTGATATTCTGATAACACTTGAATGTTTTCAGGATTTTCAAAACTATAGTAGATCACACCGGTGGCTTTCTTTTTTCTCCCTATCCGGTGTGTAAACTTAGGTTTTCCTCATGTTCTAGAAATACTGCTTGACCATTAAGACATGCTTTTTTTCAGTCGATGAGCTTAGAAAAATACCTTTGAAGAGACATAATTCAGGGAATGTGCTAAAAATACATTTTGTGGGAAGGGAGTGATGAAGGGAAATTTTGAGAGGCGATTTTTTAAAATAGGTTTTCCTGATAATGCTCCACTTTGTGAAACAACCAGCTTGAATTAATGTATACTCTTAGCCCCCAAACTTACATTCCTTATTAATTACTTGAAATTCAAAGGAATTGGCATATGTTTTACTTTGCATGCTTTCTTTAAATAATTGCTGCCTGCAGTATCTTTATGTAGTTGTTAAAAATTTTTACATGTATATTTTCCATCTTTTAAGATTTTTTTTTCAAAGCAGAATTTAGCATTAGGTTATCTACAGTAAATAGTGATATGCTTTGTCTTCTGGGTTTTTTTTTCTTCCATGTTTTGCTGGTTCAATAAGCAGTCCAGTAATAAGCATTATTTTGTAAAGTTACTGAAATAGTTTTCTGCCTATGTGTTTTGTCTCTTCTTTCTTTAATGCTGCTGTAGTCATTTCCTGGAAGGATATTTTCCGTTAACAGCTATGTCTCGGAAACAGACAACTAACATGCAGTAGGTTTCCCCTTCCCCCAGCTTTTGGTAAGGACTATCATACTAAAATTGTGAAAAATCATTACTTCGTTGAAAATCATCTAAACTTCGATCTTGAAACATAAATTGCACCTAATCATTGATGCTTATGCTTTGGCTAATGTTAATTTAAATAGACTTTTGCATGTACACTTCAGAATATTATAAATATATTTCTGCTTTATGAAAGTGATCAAGTGAAAAAATGATCATTTTGTAGTTAACCACTTTCTATCTAGTATTACATTATTTGGGAATTTATGTGCTCAACAACAACAAAAAATGGTCTGTTTTCTCCAGACAGCTTTTTGAAGTAACTTATAGTAGTGACTACCAAGGACAGCACTGTCACAAGTTTAATCTGGAAAGGCACTATAGGGCCATTGTAGTAAGATTTTGATGGCTGTATGTATGTATTATCTTTGCTGACCTTGTGGGTGTACATTCCACTGTGATTAGGTGCCTTATTGAATTTGGCAATTAAAAAAAAGTTAAAGAACTATGATTTCCAAAGACATAAAATGGCCTTGTATTAAGAGCAAGCCTTTCCACCATTATGGAAGAGATTTTAAATTCAGCAGATAATAGTAGCAAAAATTCTCTGAACAATCTAGATAGTAAAGTGGTTAACATCTAATTTGATTTTTATTGTATAAATAACAATTTGTGATTTAAACATCTTTTATTTTGACAGATGATCTTCCAAAACCCAAAACTACTGAGTTAATTAGGAAAGGCTCAATTACTGAATACACAGCAGCAGAGGAAAAAGAAGATGGACGACGCTGGCGTATGTTCAGGATTGGAGAACAGGACCACAGGGTTGATATGAAAGCAATTGAACCCTATAAAAAAGTTATCAGCCATGGAGGTAAGAGTTACTGAAGATTATTTAGATTTTTTGATGTAACATCAGAAATTAAATACTTTTAGAAGATCTCCCTAGAAAGATTACATAATCTTGAAGGAATAATAAACATTTTACACTATATTAGAAAATGGTAGGTTTGAAGTTAAAGAATAAAACATTTTAAAAGTATTAGTATATGTGTAAAATAAGTTTGAAAAGTACAAAAGAATGTTCAGTGAAACACAGTGAAAACTCTCTCCCTCCCTCCATATCCCTAGGTAACCTGAAACTGAGACTTTATACTTTCTCCCTTTTGTATTCATTTATAATTATTTACATCAGCAGTTCTCAACCTCTGGATCACAACTCCTTTGGGAGTCGAACGACGCTTTCACAAGGGTCCTCTAAAAACATCCTGCATATCAAATACATACATTACGATTCATAACAGTAGCAAAATCACAGCTATGAAGTAGCAACAAAAATAATTTTATGATTGGGGATCACCACAACATGAAGAACTATATTAAAGGGTCATGGCATTAGGAAGGTTGAGAACCACCAATTTACGTAGAGTGAAATACTCCGATCTTAAGTGTATATTGTAGTTCAGTGAGTAGTCATATGTACCTTATATATAACCACACCACTAAATATATAGAACATAAAGTTCTTTAATACTGCTCTTGAGTAGCCGCTATTCAAATGTCTACCCTCTGGCTGGGCATGGTGGCTCACACCTGTAATCCCAGCATTTGGGAGGCTGAGGCAGGCAGATTGCCTGAGCTCACAAGTTCAAGACAAATTTGAGCTAGAGCAAGACCCTGTCTCTAAAAATAGCTGGGCATTGTGGTGGGCACTTATAGTCCTAGCTACTCGGAAGACTGAGGCAAGAGAATCACTTGAGCCCAAGAGTTGGAGGTTGGTGTGAGCCTTGACGCCTTGGCACTCTACCAAGAGTGACAAAGTGAGACCATGTCTCAAAAAAAAAAAAATCTACCCTCCATAATTTTGCCAGTTTTAGAATATCATGTATAGTAACTGTAGTAATGTAGTATGCACTGTGTTTACTACTTACATTCAGCATAATGTGGGGTTTTTTGAGATTTATCCATGTTGTTGTGTGTATCCACAGTTTGTTGTGTCTGATTACTGAGTAGTAATCCATTGCATGGATAAACCATGATTTGATAATCTGTTCTTTTGAGAAGCATTTGAGTGGTTTCCATTAGGACTCTCATGAATAAACTGCTTTGAACATTCTTATACAAGTGTTTTTGTGGATACAGGTAAAACTTGGACTTTTTTTTTCTCTTGTGTGTGTTTGTGAGAGAGACAGGATCTCACGCTGTCACATGATCTGGAGTGTAGACGTGTTAACATAGCT